AACTCACCCTGAGATTATGGCCCTGTGACTGATCCACGATGAACTTCGACAGGACGTTGAACTGTTGGTCGTAAGGGAAGCAATCGCGGATCACGTCCAGAGCCTTCTGCACCTTGTTGGCAACCGAGCCCAGCATCTCGCTGCCCGCCTTGGTGAGCAGCCGCGGCAGTAGGATGTGCAGCCAGTCTCCTAGATCGGCCGACTGCAGGTAGACCAGCTCGATGAGGGTGTCCAGGAACACCGAGTACACCTGCACACCGGGACACACAAACGCCTGAGGTTTACACACAAACGTGCACACACGCCTACCTATACAAATGTATTCCATGACATTTTCTGACGACTGTTTCCACGCCACAGGGAACAATCATCACTTTTGTAGTTTCAATAAGAGTTTTACGCCACTTGCAACACAATCCCATGAATATTTGAGCAATTGCTCAAGACTCAATTGAAGTGTGTTGTCCAAAACTCTGTAAGTCAAGTTTGACGAGCGTCTGATTTCACCACGATGCCTCACACGTTAAATATAAACACGACCCATTTATGTATTACGTATTATGTTCACACGAGTATATAATGATTTAGATTTAAATAATGCTAGAGTCCGGGATACGGAACTTTGGGCTGTGAGCAGTGAATATGGCTGTTTCCGACAACGACAATGTATGTGTGAGGCATTGTGGTGTAACCAGGTGCTTGTCAAAATTGACTTACAGAGTTCTGGAAAACCGCTCTTCAATTGTTTAATTCTTAGTTGTAGTGTGTTGGTAAGTGCTGATGTTTGGTTTTTACCTCTGTCCTTACGTGTATATATATAATTAAAGTATGGTTGTGATGGTTCTTCTTTACGTGGTTGAACTGGTTTTTCATGTTACTGAGAAATATTTTATCTTTCGCGAATAAATTATGACTTTTCAGTGATCATGTGATTACACAAATAGAGTTGTGAACTGACAACGTTTCGCAAAGATCCCATGGGGGTGTGTACTCACTTTGCTGTGAGGATCATGGAACATTCTGGTGAACATCTCGGAGACTTTCTTTAGTTCTACCCGGCTGTGGAGGAGAAGAAATGTCAGTTACTGTGTTGTATGTGCTGTGTTTGTTACTGTGCTGTGTGTGCTGTGTTTGTTACTGTGCTGTATGTGCTGTGTTTGTTACTGTGTTGTGTTTGTTACTGTGCTGTGTGTGCTGTGTCAGTTACTGTGCTGTGTGTGCTGTGTTTGTTACTGTGCTGTGTGTGCTGTGTTTGTTACTGTGCTGTGTTTGTTACTGTGCTGTGTTTGTTACTGCGCTGTGTGTGCTGTGTTTGTTACTGTGCTGTGTTTGTTACTGTGCTGTGTGTGCTGTGTTTGTTACTGTG